AACAGGTGTTAGCTTGGGGGCACTCTTCCCCACCAAAAAAAAAAAAAAAAAAAGAAATGAAACAGGGGCCAACCCAGTGGTATAGTGGGTAAGTCCAGCTCACTCTGCCTCAGCAGCCCAGGGTTCACAGGTTCGGATCCCAGGTGCAGACCTATACCTCTCATTGGTGGCCATGCTGTGGCAGCGACTCACATACAAAATAGAGGAAGATTGACACAGATGTTAGCTCAGGGAAAATCTTCCTCATCAAAAAAAAAAAAAAAAAAGAAATGAAACAGATCCATCACCCCAAATTCCACAGAACCCCTCTACATTTAATCCCTCCTACTCCCCAGGCCGGGCATACATGGATCTGCTGTCTGGCCCTATAGTTTGCCTTTTCTGGAATGTCCTGTAAGTGGAGTCATGTTGTACGTGGCCTTTAGGTCTGGCCTCTTGCACTCAGCCTGATGCTCTCGAGATCCATCCGCATTATAGCATCTATCAGCAGTTTATTCCTTCTTAATGGATGAGCAGTCGTCCATTGCACGGATGCACTACAGTTCGTCCATTCACTCTCAGAAGGACATTCGGGATGTTTACAGTTTGGGGTTATTATGGATAAATCTACTATAAACACCCACATATGCATAGTGTGGCTGAACTTGATGGGAAACTGCTCAACTGTTTCCACAGTGGCTGCACCGTGTTTGCATTCCCACCAGCAGTGACTGAGCTTCCAGTTCCTCCACGTGCTTGTCAGCACTTGGCATTGTCAGGTTTTAATTCAGGCATTCTCGCAAGTGTGTGCTGGCCTCTCTGCTATGGTTTTAACGTGCATTTGCCTAATAATTAAGGATCTTGAGCATCTTCTCATGCCGTCTTTGCCATCCATATATCATCTTTGATGAAGCGTCTGTTCAAATCTTTTGCTCAATTTAAAAATCAGGCTGTTTATTGTTGAGTTTTGGGCGTTCTTTGTATATTCTGAATACAAGTTGTTTATCAGATAGTGCGACTTGCAAATATTTTCTCCCAGTCTGTAGTTTCTCTTTACATTCTCTTAACTGTCATTGAAAGAGCTGAAGTTCTTAATTCTGATGAAGTCCAATTTACAAATTTGTTCTTTTATGGATCAATGCTTTTAGTGTCATATCTAAGATCTTTGCCCAACCCGAGGTCACAAAAATTTCCTTTTATATCGTCTAGAAGTCTTGGAGTTTTAGATTTTATGTTTAGGTCTATGAACCATTTTGCATTAATTTTGTATATGCTGCAATGCATGGATCAAGGTTTTTTTTTCCCAGCGTGTGGATATCCAACTGTTCCAGCACAACTTGTTGAATAGACTCTCCTTTCCCTATCGAATTGGCTTTGAACTTTCACTGAAAATCAACTGCCCGTATATATGTGGATCTACTTCTGGAGTCTCCACTCTGTTCTGTTGACCCATATGTCTGTCCTCTCATACACACCACGCTCTCTTCATTCCTGTAGCTTTAGAGTAAGACTTGAAGTCGGGTAGTGTGAATCCCCCAGCTTTGTTCTTTCCCAAAATTGTTTTGGTGATTCTAGCTCCTTTGCCTTTCCATATAAATTTTAAAATAAATTTTCCAATTTCTACAAAAAAATTCTGCCGGATTTTTTTGGAATTGCATTGGATCTTATACACCACTTTGGGGGAAACTGACATGTTAACAATTCATGAAGATGGTTTATCTCACATTTATTTGCATTTCTTTTTTATTTCTTTAATCAGTTTTGTAGTTTTCAGTTTACAGAACTTACACTTATTTAGTTAGATTTATTTCTAAGTCTTTCATATGTTTTTTGGTCCCATTGTAAACGGTACTGTTTTTAGATTTCAGTTTGCAATTGCTCGTTGCTAGTATATAGAAATATGACAGATTTTCTTATAATAACTTTGTATCTAATGACCTCGTGAAACTCTCTTACTCATTCTTGTAGATTTTTTGTCAGTTCTTTGGGACTTTCTGTACAGACCATCATGTTATCTGTGACATTTTATTTCTTCCTTTCCAGTCAGTATATGACTGGTTCGTTTATTGTCTTATTACACTGCCTAGGGCTTTCATCGTTTAAAATGACGTTAGCTATAGGCTTTTTGGTTATTGTTTATTGCGTTTTTTGGTAGATGTCTTGAATCAGGTTGAGGAAGTTCCCTTCCGTTCCTAGTTTGCTGAGGGTTTTTATCATGAATGAAGGTTGAATTTTTTCATTGTTCTTACAGCCTCTGTGGAGATGTTCCTGTGGCTTCTGTTCTTTAGTCTGTTGACACCGTGACTGCGACATTGAACGCTGAATGCCAGGGTAACTCCACTTGGCTGTGACAGATTTCTTATCATTTTCCTGGATTCAATTTCCTAGTATTTGTTGAGGATTCTTGCATCTGTTATGGACTGAATGTTTGTGTCCTCCCAAAAGTGCCCCAAAATTCATTTGTTGAAGCCCTAACCCCAATGTGATGGTATTTGGAGATGGGGCTCTTAGGGGGTAATTAGAGTTAGATGAGGTCGTGAGGGTGGGGCCCTCATGATGGGATTAGTGGCCCCATAAGAAGGACTACTCTGTCCCCATGGGCACCAAGGAGAGGCCATGTGAGGACCCCATGAGAAGGCGGCAGTCAGCAAGCCAGGAGGAGAGCCCTCACCAGGAACCAGAGGTGCTGGCACCCCAGTCTCAGACCTCCAGCCTCCAGAACTGTGAGAAATGAATTTCCCTGCTTTAAACCACTCAGTCTATGGTATTTTGTTGTGAGCCTGAGCTGGCTAAGGTGGTATTGACATTCACGTTCCCCTTCAGGCTGTCCAGGTGAAGCCCGGGTGACCGGAGCTGTTTCTCCAGGACCCACACCTGACCAGAACAAGAACAATAGGGCCAGAGCCCCCAGCGGCTCTCCAGGCAAGTGGACATAAGCCAAGCAACCCCCACAGCCAACTCTTCCTCCTACAGACCAAGTACGGGGCTCGTTGGGAGGGATGCTCCCGGCCAGATGCAACTGGCCTCCGCCCCAGGCTGGCCACCAGCCCAATCTCCCCTCCCAGCTGTTGAAGGGTAACTGTCATTGCCCCACTGAGGTGACGTCAGGGGCCTCATCTCCACTGGATTCGGGTGCTGGGAGTGGGTAGGGGCGGGGGTCATGTCCTACTGTGTGCTGGGTCAGGAGGGTGACTTGTCAGGTTGACAGCTGTCGTCACACTGACCTTGCCTCCACCTGGCTGGTGCCCTCTGGCTTGTGGGAGCCTCAGTCTCCTTGTCTGAATAACGGGCCTGCAAACGCCTGCCCTGTGGTCACAATGAGGGTGGCAGGGAGTAGATGCCCCCCTGCCAGCCTTGGCAAGGACCCAGCACACAGCTGGGGATCTTGGGGGACCTCTCCGCAGGTGGGTTGGTGGCTGTGATGGCAGCAAGCACGTGAGGGCAAGGTGTGAGGGGGCTGGGTGTCCCCATCTCCAGGCTCTTGTCCCTCCGCAGGCCCCCAGCTGCCCCCCTCCTGCCATCTGTCTTGGTGTCTCCACGGGAGGCGTGGGGGGTGTTCGGGGTGAGGATGAGAGATGCTCCCGGGTCCCTGCTGCAGCCTGGGGAGGCCTGGACCCACATGGGGCTCCACTCGGAGGCCGGAACCTGCTCCCAGGCACTGCTGAGAACTGGCGCGGGCACAGCTTGTTCAGTGCAAGACCATGTTGTGTCTGTCACCAGGGCTTTGGTCGTTTGCCAAACTTCCGCCTCGCTTAGCGCCAACAGACACCTTTGTGTCCGAGTCCCCGGGCGCCAGCTGGCTTCAAGAGCTCGCTGTCTGCCGGACGTCAGGATGATAGATGCGTCAGTTCATTGTCCTGGGATGAGCAGGGCCCAAAGGGGCGGCTGGGCCCTTTGGCTCGGGACCTGAGAGCCTCCTGCCCAAGGAGGCCCCGGGAGCCCAATGTAGACATGGATGCACCATCACGTCTCCAGCCTCTCCTCCCTCTCCTTCCACTCGGCTGGGTCTTAATTGATTATTAATGACCAGGGCTTGGGGAGGCGGGCACAGTCATCCCAGCATGGGCAATATTGTCTGTAGAGGATTTAAAGACACTAATAAACCCAAATAAAAGCTGGTCTGCTCTTCATGGTCTCCAGAGAGGCAATTCGGAATAAAGAGATGAGAAGACACCCTCCTCTGCACAGCTATGCCCCTGGCCCTGGCACACTGCCAATCACACAAGGTACGAGAACACCTTCTCCTGAGCTCCCTCACCTGCCCGCAGGTAGGTGGGTGTCTCCAGAGACGAGGAGCACGAGTCGCAGGCATTTCTGTGGGTGTGTTTGTGTGTCATCGTGGTTTTCCCTCCGTGTGTTTGCACGATGCTGTCAACCATTCAGCCACCTGCGTTTCTCACTCCGCTCGGGTATTGGAGATTATCCCACGGATCTGCCCCTGCATTTCCTGCACTGGCCACCACCAGGGTCCCCCCATGATCCTGTCCACAGCCCCGATCCCAGGCCCTCCCTGGGGCTCCGGGCAGAGGCTAGGCGTCCCTTCTCACCAGGTTGGGGAACATGGACCCAGCTCCTCCCCCTGAGGGGCTGCATGGGCAACACGCACAACGACATCCGATTTCATCCTGTGCTCTTCACCTGCCCCCCGAGGGAATCGTCTGGAGAACTTTTAGGATTCTCTCACCGCCCCCCACCCCCTTCTCTCTTCTCTCCCCAATTCTGACATAATGGGTCTGAGGTGGGGCCAGGCTTGGTTTTTAAAGCTTCCCTGGTGATTTAATATGCAGGCGGGTGGGAACCCCCAAGTCAGTGGTTCTCGAAGCAGGGTGCCCAGACCAGCTGCATCATGGGATGCACATTCTCAATGCCCCAGACCTGCTGAGTCAGAAACTCCGGGGACCCCAGCGCTCCGGGTTCTGGCAAGTCCTCCCGATGCACTTCAAGTCTGAGAATGCCTGCAGCCAATTAACCTCGTCCCTGCCCAGGGCGGTGCGCAGGCACAGCCCCAGCCCCCATCTCCACTGGGGGTCCACTCCTCACAGCTTCAGCATTTGCCGTGCTGGGAGGAGGTGTAAACCCATCCAGCTTTCTCCTTGCAAATCGGATGGGGCTGAAGCCTGCAACCTCCCCCCACTCCCCAGTTTCCAGCGGGGCAGTGTTCTGCGGGCAGTGAGGTGTCCGTGCAGTCCTGCCTCCCTTGTTCACTCGAACCCCTCTAAGTGGGCGTTTTTGGAACTAACGCTGCCTCGGAAGAGAGCATGTGCTGAGCATTTTGGCCAGGAAGAGTGGGGTTCTGGGGTGCGCAGGGGCGGGTTCAGGCACGAGCGGGGTAATTGCTGCACACAGATCGCCAGGCATGTCCCATCTTCTCATTAAAGGTCCTCTTGATCCCTCGCTAACCAAAGTCTGGGTCCCCTTGAGGCAGTTAGAGCTCGGAAATCTCGGGAATCCAAGCTTCTCATTCGTGGATGAGAAGACGGGGTTCAGGACCTCCAGGGTCTCAGGGTTAGCAAGCTGGGGGGTCTGGGAGCCCCTGGGCCTCACAGAGAGAGATCACAGGAGGTGGGCGAAGGCCTGCTTGGGCTGCAGTGCAGCCCTGTAAAATCCCTGTGTAACCCCGAGCCTGTTTCCCTCTGCGGACGACAAGAGGGGACCGTGGCAACGATGGCACTTGTGCCGTAGAGAAGGTGACCCCAGCTGACACTAGGAACAGACTCAGGCAGGTGAGTTCCGTTGTCTCTTGACCAGGGACCTTTGTGCCACATAATAATAACTTACTGACTTTACATTAATTGAGCACTTACTGTGTACCCCCAAGTCTTGCCCCATCTGTTGAGCATGAAAAGCTCTGTTTAAATACGAGCACCGTCCCCGGCATTGTGTCCTGGCCAGCAGCTCTGCAGCTCCTCCCGGGGTGGGTGCGTTCAGCTCCTGGAGGCCCTGGGGACCTGATGTCACTGCAGTGGAGCCCACGTGGCCTCCACTAGACATGTGCTCCGCTCCCCCAGAGTAGGCCCTACTGGTACAGGGGAGCCAGTCCTGGGCTGTGCAGGGGAGCCCTCTACGCATCAGTATCCCCAACTTTAAAATAATCGCAGCTCTCTCCAGGGGTGTGAGGGTCACCCAGAACTCATAGAGCAGATGCGCCCCCCCAAACCTCCAACCCCCACCCCCTGTGTCCTGCCTGCCCTCCGCCGCTGGCCCAGAGCCCGCCCCAGAGCCCACCCCGCCTGCTTCCTGTCTGGGTCGGCCTGCTGAATTATTCACTGGACACGGGGCAGGCCCTGGCAGGACCATGCAGAGTGAGCATTCTCCTGGACCACGTCCCATCCCTCCGGCTCTCTCTTAGTCATCTCTGGCTCCAGCTTGGAGCCTCCATCCAGGCTGTTAATGGAACCGCAGCACAGGACGCCTCCCCAGTGGGCTACAGCAGCCCAGCCCGGCCCGGCCCCTCCCCTCTCCGTGGCCCAGCTCACTGTACCAGGCCCTGAGCTGGTGTGGGGCTTATCTTCATTTGCCGTTTCCTGCTGGTTTAGCCAGAATCCCGCCACCCCGTATCTGCATCCCTGTAAACCTTTGGCACCAGCTCTGCTGAGAGAAGGGCCCCCACGCGTCTCCAGGCCGGTGCCAGCCCTGTCCTGCCCCCAGCTCATCAAAGTAACCAAGTACCATGTACGAGGACCCCCCACCTGGCCGAAGCCCCCGACTTCAGCTGGCTGCACACCCCCTCCCCCCTTGAGTCCAGGCTGGGCTGGAAAAAGGAGCAAGGAGAGGGTCTGTCTGCCAAGAGGGCCACGGCCCCCTGTTCGAGGCCCTAAGGAAAGAGCTTGCCCCTTTCCGGGATGGGCGGTGTCCCATGGGTGCGGGAAGGGAGGCCTCCCAGGTGCGTCTCAGGCTGGCAAGAAGGCTGGACAAGGGGACTCTGGGCAGACAAGTAACAGTCCGCAGTCCATGGGGTCAGGACCTTGGCCCCCAAAGGGAGAGCTCAGCTTCCCCAGGTCTGCCATCCCAGGCCCCCACACCTCCCCAGTCTGGATCCGTCTCCACCTGGGCACACAGCTCGGCCTCCTGTACTGATCACTCATGTTCTGTAAGAGGAAACCTCCTTTGGACGCCCTTGAGGAGCTGAAGGCTCTGCAGGGAAACGTCCCTCCCCACCTGCGATTGGGGTTTCCCTAAACAGAGTGAGGAAGAGGGGAACAGACACCAAGAGGGCCTCTCTCAGAGCCGTGCAGGAGGCTGTGGAGGGAAGAGCCTAGGGCCACGGCGAGGTGCCCGGATGCGTTCCCGGACCACTGCACTGGTGGGGCAGGTGCCGTGCGGGGTCTGAGTCTTGGCCGTGTCCACGCCGACCAGCCATCCCAGGCACCAGATTGCGTGTGGCAAATGCTCCCTCAAATGGCCCCCGAGCCACTGGCCCTTTTCCTGCTGGCTGGGGGTGCTCAGGACCCCACCAGCTCTGATCCCAGTGGTCTCGGGTGGGCATCTGGAGGAGCCAGCTCTCTGCAGACCACCCATGAGAGATGACGCAGGGAAACCATCTGCACTGTGGTCCCCTCTCCCAATGTGGATGGTGGATGCTGGCCATTAAACCTGCATGGTCACTTAAGCAGCTGATTGCCAGCCACCCCCCACTCGGGCCCTTGGTGGGACAGAGGTGGTTCCTCGAGGGCTGAGAGTGTGGACAGCCAGGGCGTGAATCCCACCACTTTACGCACTTCCTCGGTGACCTGGCTCTGGTCACCTCCCCTCCCTCCACCTCAGTCTCCTCATCTGTGTGCTGGGGTGTCGGGGAGCCTGCCCAGAGGCCTGTGCTGGGATAGAATGAGGGACGTGGGGAGCCGAGAACAGGGATGGACAATGCCCAGCAGAAGCCCTGCCAGAACCATTAGGGACCCCGCCCAGCAGTCTCTGGCCCCTGAGGCCCCGCCTGGGGCTCCTGACATTGCAGGGCCACCCTGTGCTGGACACACAGGCTAGAATGCAAACCCCAGCTCTGCCTCTGATGTGCTGTATGGCCTTGGGAAGCTGCCTGATCTCTCTGAACCCTTAGTTCCATCTGCAGTTTGGGAAGCAGACTCCACCTCTGAGCCACGGTGTGGATGACATGAGATGACCATTGGCATTCACCAGGTTTGGGGTCACCTCTCCACCAGCAGAGCCAGAACCCTAAGCCGTCTGGTGGGAAGCGATGTGCAAACTGCCAGTGACTGAGAGCCGAGCTGAGCTACCAGTCGTTTTGTGAAGAAAGGGCTTTTGGGAGACCAAGGAGGTGCCCTTCAATATGGAAGGCTTCATAGAGGAGGTGACCTTGAGCTCGACCTTGAGGAACAAGTCAATTTTGATAAGAAGAGAAAGGATGTGGGGGACAGGGAGGGAACTCCAGGCAGCAGGGAGACCCAGACACCTAAAAGCCCACCCTTTGGTCCCAGACCCCCCCATTCCCCAACAAACAGGTGCCAGGTGGAATCTGAGCCCCCTCCACATGCACGGCAGACGCTGTCCTCTGCCCCCGTCCCTCCATGAAGGTCACCACACTGACCTCTGTGGATGCATTTCTCTCCCCTGTTTGTGGTGACAGCGACACTGAGGCATGCCAAGGGAGGGCTCCAGGGTTTGAGCTGCCTGGGCTGGGGTCCAGAGAACAGCCCAGTGCTCACCTGGTGGGCTCACAGGGGTGGGAGCTGCGTCCTGGGGGCAGCCTCCCTCCCCTAGCTCCAGCGAGCCCACTCAGGTCCCGCTGCGTGTGAACGCCACACAGCTAACAGGAGCTGAGAGTTCCCCATAAAAGGGCCCAGAAGATGGATTTGATTTGGTCATTCTTAGTGGGAAACCTGACTCTAAAGCCCTGGCAGATGTGTAGGAGATTGGTTACTCATCCCAAAGTGAAAAAGTAAATCCCGCCCCACATAAGTTGCTGCCTAAGAAGCTGTTGCCCTTGGCGGCTGCAGCACTTTCCACCTCGGCAGGCCAGCGGCATAGAACTCTGCCTTCCGAGTGATTTACAAACCCAAGCTGAGCCAGCCCACTGTCTGCCGGGCGTGTGGCTTCGGGGACGAACATAGACCCCAGTGTGGGGACCAGCCCAGGCCCCAGAGCACGTGGGCACTGGGCCCCTAGAGCCCAGCAGCCGCTCTCCTTGGTGATGAAAGCGAGCCACAGGACAGGGGCTGTGACGTCCCCGTGCCCACCCTGGAGGCCACCACAGACATCTCCCACCCTGAGGTCACCTCTGGCCGTGAATGGATGGCATGAGGGGCAGGCTGAGAGCTTGGGAGTCCACGCCTCTGGGACAGACCCCAACCAACAGAGATGAAGTTGGATAGATAGCCAGCAGCCCCTACTCGGGGCAGCTGAGCGGGCTCGACCGTGTGCCAGAGGGTCCTCAGCAGAACTGCCCCAGCCCCAAGGCCCCACCTGTCACTCACTGGCCCTTTGCTGTCTTTCCCGCCCTCCCCGTCTCACCTCCTGGCTCCTCACCCCACTTACTGCATCACCTCTTTACAAACCATGTGCCCTGAACCTTTGCCCAGGGTCTGCTTCAAGGATCCCAAATGAACACCATAGCACCCCACTTGTGACAACCTTCATGGCCAGACAAGGGGCTTGTTTTGGGGCTCATGTCACATCTACATTTTTCTTTCAGGAGAGTCTCTTCTTCTGCTCTCCGGCCTCGTAGTCCCCGGGGCATTTCTGGCCATGCTGGTGAGGACACAACTCCGCTGTCCTGGGACAAAAGTCTGATGGAAGCAGCTCTTTCCAGAGTGTGTCCCCAGGACACTTGGTCCCACCAGACACTCCAAGAACTGTATGGCCAGAGCCTTGGCACACAGCTTCCCAGAGATGGCCCTGAAGGCTAGGGGCACACAGCCCATGGGGCTAGCGCAAGGGGACCGTGCAACTTTAGTGCCAGGTGTTTCCCAGACAAACGCGCCAGGAACGTTATTTCTGCTCCCACCTGTCAACCCATCACTGGGAACCTTGGCACCCAGGGCCCGCGCTGAGATGTGCTTCCTAGTAGCTCTCGCTCAC